ACTCAGGCCATTGTGCTTGCAAAGCAGGCATTCTGCCACTTGCTCTAGTCCATATAAGATATTTAAAAAAAAACAATTTTATGCTAACTATATTTCATATGTATTTTTTGGTGATCTGGGAAGCTTCAAGTCTGTTCATCCTTAGTTCTTTCCCCTGTACTTTCTCTGTGCTGGGGAATGGGCAGCATCTGTAGCCTTTCTTTGGTTAAATGGAGCACATGGGGTGTCAGGGAGGGATTCAGGGTTTTTGATTAGGTCAGATATCTCAGTTTTATTGAGATTTGATTGATATACCATGCAATTCAACATTTGAAATTCTTTTTATCTATATGTATATATTTTCAGTACTAGGGCTTGAACTAAGGGCCTCACACTTGCTAGGCTTGCTAGGCCCACACTCTTAACACTGGAGGCACAACTCTAGCCCTTTTTGGGTTTGGTATTTTTCGAGATAGGGTCTTGTTTCAAACTTCGAACCTCTTGATCTCTGCCTCCTAAGTAGCTAGGATTATAGGTGTGAGGTTCTGGCTCCTGACTCTATACTTTTTTTTTTTTTTTCCCCTTCCTTCATTCATACTGGGGCTTAAACTCAGGACTACACCTTGAGCCTCTCCACCATCCCTTTTTTGTGATGTTTTTTTTTCCCAGATACTCCTGATCTCTGTCTGCTGAGTAGCTAGGATTGCAGGTGTGAGCCACTGGCACCAGGCTCTGGCGCTATACTTTTTTTAATTGTTTTATTATTCACATGTGCATACAAGGCTTGGGTCATTTCTCCCCCCTGCCCCCACCCCCTCCCTTACCACCCACTCTGCCCCCTCCCCCTCCCCCCACCCCCTCAATACCCAGCATAAACTATTTTGCCCTTACCTCTAATTTTGTTGAAGAGAGAGTATAAGCAATAATAGGAAGGAACAAGTGTTTCTTGTTGAGATAAGGATAGCTATATAGGGAGTTGACTCACATTAATTTCCTGTGCGTGTGTGTTACCTCCTAGGTTAATTCTTTTTGATCTAACCTTTTCTCTAGCTCCTGGTCCCCTTTTCCTATTGGCCTCAGTTGCTTCTAAGGTATCTGCTTTAGTTTCTCTGCGTTAAGGGCAACAAACGCTAGCTAATTTTTTAGGTGTCTTACCTATCCTCACCCCTCCCTTGTGTGCTCTCGCTTTTATTATGTGCTCAAAGTCCAATCCCCTTGTCGTGTTTGCCCTTGATCTAATGTCCACATATGAGGGAGAACATACGATTTTTGGTCTTTTGGGCCAGGCTAACCTCACTCAGAATGATGTTCTCCAATTCCATCCATTTACCAGCGAATGATAACATTTCGTTCTTCTTCATGGCTGCATAAAATTCCATTGTGTATAGATACCACATTTTCTTAATCCATTCGTCAGTGGTGGGGCATCTTGGCTGTTTCCATAACTTGGCTATTGTGAATAGTGCCATAATAAACATGGGTGTGCAGGTGCCTCTGGAGTAACCTGTGTCACAGTCTTTGGGGTCTATCCCCAAGAGTGGTATTGCTGGATCAAATGGTAAATCAATGTTTAGCGTTTTGAGTAGCCTCCAAATTTGGCTCTATACTTTTTAAAAGCACTTTATTATGAAGGCAGAATGAATGATACCATAAATCATAGTTCTTAAGCACAGTTGGAAACTTTGTTATGCTGTTTGGTCCACATTCTCCCCCTGCCAATTGTCAGTTAGCTTTTAAATTCAGAAATCCTCAGAAACAGTAGAGAATGTTAAGATTTCTCTTTTGGGAGGGGAGGCAGTACTGGAGTTTGAACTCAGGGCAGGTGTTTTGCTTGAGCCACACCTCCAAATCTGAATTCTTGTGTTTTTTTTGGGGGGATGGGACTGGGGTTTGAAGAATTTTTAACAATTTTTAAGATGTGATTCTTCTAGACTTCAGCTGTAGAGTGAGTTAACTAAAAATAGTACAGACAGTGATTTAGAAGGTCGTCCAACCTTAAAATGGTAGTCATTTAGTATTTAGCTTTAGATTACCTCATATTTGTCTTTTAGAAATAAATAATAATTTGAACCTAGGAAAGCATAATATGTGTATATATTACATACATGTGTACTGGTGCAGATGATCTTCTTTGCCTTTTCAGGTAAATTGGTCAAACTCTTGGATTTCTTCTAGGAGATCTTGGAATGTTTTATATGTAATATTAAAGTACTTTATAAATAGTTATTTTTAGGTTCAAGGTAATTTTTTTTTTTTTTGGCAGGACTGGAATTTAAACTCAGGGCTTCTGCTTGCAAAGCAGGTGTCTATTGTTTGAGCCACATTCCAGTTCATTTTGCTCTCATTATTTTGGAGATGGGGTCTTGCAAATATTTGCCTAGGCTGACCTCGAACTGCAATTCTTCTGATCTCAGCCTCCCAAGTAGCTAGAATTATAGGTATGAGCCACCAGTGCCCAGCTAAAAGCTTTGTTTTGACTTCCTGTGTTGGAAAAAACCTAAAGCCTTGTCATGCTAGGCAAGTGCTCTATCACTGAACTATATACTTTCAGCCCTAGTTTTGGCATTTATAGGGCTGATGGGAAAAGTAGTTGTCTTTATACAGAGATATTATAGAAACAAAAGGACATGGGGTAGGCATACTCAGTTTGGAATAATGTAAATTGCAGTAAATTATTAAAAAATTTGGCCTTATGATATTGTTTTAAATAATGAAAACAAGTGAAGTAGAGGTTTTAGACTTCTTTGTGTACTTGAATATAATTACAAATCAGAATTTTTTTTTTTATTGGTGGTCCTGGGATTTGAACTCCAGAGCCTCATTCTTGATACGTGGGCACTCTATCACTTGAGCTACTTACTCTGCCAGCCCTAGAAAACTCTTTGTATGTATGTGACTTTTCATTCAAGTAGCAATTTCTGTTCTCAAGGCTTACACTTTGGAAAGATTTATCTCCCTTGTCTCATGCCAAACCTACTGTGTTTCAATCTTAACTGCTCTGGGACACTGCCCCTTATAAGTGTATTTTGAAGTTTTTTAGTATAAAGGGGTTTAGGGATGGGTTTTACAGCTGAATTTGAACTTGTACATATGTGTTCAGCAATGTATTAATCCACATTGCTGTAAAAATAAAAAGTCTGATATTGTCATTTAATAACATGAGGGTTGTGAGGTGGTTTATTTTATTTTATTTTTTTTTGGTGGTGGTAGTTGAGCTGGAGATCCGACCTAAGCTTTGCACACACTAGGCATGTGTTCTACAACTAAGGTATGCCTCCAACCCCCAAGTTTTTCTTTATTTATTGATTGATTGATTGAGATGAGAGGGGTCTCACTTACATTGCTCAGGCTATTCTGAATCTCCTGGCTCATGGAGTCTTCCTGCCTCAGCCTCCTAAGTGCTGGGACTGTTAAGTTTTATTGTCATACCTGACTTTCTCATGGGTTCTTAACCTGAATAATGTGAGTGTTTATGCTGGGGAGAAGAGGATGTAGATTTACAGAAAGGATCTATGACAGATTTTGAAAACTTTTGAAGCTGACCTCTTGTGGCTTACAGATGTGATTAAAAAGGACTCTTGAGTATAGTAGTCATGTTTTTACTGTCTTTTATGTTTCTCATACTGTCATAGTGCTGTGTATAACATGAGTGTTCAGTGAATGTGGGAATTATGTTTAAGCTTTGTTATGTTTAATAAAGAGGGAGATTGTTGTATTATTACACATTCTGTAAGGAATATCTGTAATTTCTAATTCAAAATAGCAATAAAAAGTGCTTTTTAAAAAGCACAGCTTAGGAGCTTGAGGCATGACTAATGCGGTGTGACACTTGCCTAGCTAGATTGAAGACCTGAGTTCAAACTCCAGGACTGCCAAGAAGACCTGAGTTCAAACTCCAGGACTGCCAAAAACAAACAAACAAACAAACAAACAAAAACCCGTAATAGGAACATTTTTAGTTACTATTAGCAATTTTCTCAAAAAGTTCACATTATGTAACTTAGGAAACACTTAAAATTATTTGGTCCTGAAGTCTTGTTTTCTTTTTAAAATTCTATTTGTGCTAAATTTGAAATTAATCTACACTTTCATTTTTTGCCAAGGTTATTTATTATCCACACTGTATCATACTTCTTAGTAAATACAATTAATATCTTTACCTAACGTTAATTAATTTAGTTTTTTAAAAGGAATATAAAACTATTGACCACTGTTCACCATTATTTATAATAAAGTAAACAATATACAGTTTGATAATATTCTGATTACTACAAAGTTGTTTTCCTGGCTTCTGCAGAACCAGTAACCCAAATACTGCAAAGATTGAGCCTACATGGAAGGAATGAGTCTGGGGAAAGAAAAAGCATGCAGATCAATTTATAAAATTTTCACAAATTTATGCCAGCAGGTCCTAAATTGTCAATATTTCTAACCAGCAGATTACATTTCCATGAGCCAAGTCTGAAATATTTCATGATTCTTAACCTTTTAGTACAGATTTCAACTTTCTGTTTCTGTAAAGGAATGGCTCCCTAGAGGAACCTTTAAATGTGCACTTTACTCTCGTTTAGCTAATTAAAACAAACCAGGGTTTGTCTAGTTCCCTCATCTGGCTGGGGAAGTTGTTGGTACTGGTAACAAGGAATTTTGCAAATAAACTATTGTATTTATGTGTCTCTAGAAAACTAAAACAACCCAGATACGGTGATGTATGCCTGTAATACCAGCCCTTGGATGGTAGAGGCAGGAGGATTTCAAGTTTGAGGCCCAGTGAGACCGTATTATTTCCACAAAAAAGAAAAAAAAAAGGCTGGGGTTGAAGCCCAGTGGTACAGCACTTGCTTACCATAGTCAGGGTCCTGCTTTCAATCCCTAGCACCTAAAACCATCTCCAAAACCACCTAAGTATTTTATGTATATGCCAACACAAACAAAAAGTCCAGAATGGTCCTTTGACATTCCAGTTAAAAGATAAGTTCTGATTAATGACTGTAAAATTTCCCTAACATTAAAAGACTGGTACCAAATAGTCTTTTCTGATAAAGGAAGCAATACAGAAAGCTTTTATTCTACCTGTTCAAAGTAACTAGTGCTATTGATGCAGAAAACAAAAACAAAAAACCCCAACAACTCCCCCAATACTACTTTCAAAACCAACATACCAAACTTGATTTTCATTAGAATGTGGTTATCTTTTTCACTAGTAATTCAAAAACCAAGACTCAGATTTTATATGTATAAATATATATAAAAACAATGCAAACAATTACTGAGCTTCATCTTTTTGACAAGAATGCCAAGTTAGTCTCTCTTTATAAAACACAATTACAATTTGAGGACATTTCATATTTGCCTTTTTTGCCAGCACCAAGTCTGCCTCATCTGAATCTTTCCATTTTATGAGAAACATCAATTCTCCACTGCTGTCTGTAGTATCAATTATTCGTTCAGGATCAAGACCTCTGGCAAAGCCTCTTGGTTTGTCAGCAGCATCTCTTTTCTTCTTTGACTTGATATCATCAGATTCACTGTCAGATAAAGATTTTCTTTTTGTACCATCTTTTTCTTTACCAGCTTTTTGAGAATTAAGAAATGAGTCAATTAACTTTGGACAATCTAAATTTTCTTCAGGCTCCCAAGTATTGTCAGCATTTGTAAATCCCTTCCACTTCAGGAAATACTCCACCTTCCCATTCACTACATGCCATTCCAGTACTTTTTCCACCACAAATTCTTCAGGCTCTGCCTCTTCAACTTTTTTACTTTTTCCATTCTGTTTCCTTCCCATTTTTTGCAAAGTAGTTTTATTGGAGGCCATTTTTAATTACGGAGTTGAAGAGCTATTGTTTGCATGCTCCGGGTTGTGGGTCCTGTAGCAACCAGCCTGCACACCTCCAGCTCGAGTCACCCCTAATGTTAATTTAATTCTTATGAATTAATAAGCTAGTTTAGTAGGATCTTTATGGATTTAGAAAAAGGGTCCTGTACTGGTTTGTAATGTTTTAGTATATTTTATTCAAAATCATCTGGCTAAATTTTTTGCTTTTTTTTTTTTTTTTTTTTTTGAGATAGGATCTAACCCAGCTTGCCTTGAACTTGCTGTGTAGTCCATGCTAGCCTTGAACTCACGGTTCTCCTGCCTCTGCCTCCCAAGTGCTGGTATTACCAAATTGGCCACCACACCTTTGGGTACCTTTCTTTTTGAGGTACTAGATGTGAACTCCTGGCCTCACACTTGCTAGGCAGGGGCTCTACTGCTTGAGTCACACCTCCAGCTGTTAACAGTTCTTAATGGGTGTAAGGAAGCTTTGGCTATAAGAGATTCTGAAATCAAAATATTGTTACTTACAATGAAAATGGTTTCAGTTGCTCTAAGTTGTTTCAAAGCTAAACAACAGTATAGAAAGCTCAGAATTTGTTTTGATTCTGCTTTAAGAATGTAGTTACAAGAGCAGAAGTGGCCCAACATCACTGGAGGCACATGCCTCTCTCCTCGGTTTCTGTAGTTAGGATGAAAGTGTTTTCTGTGAAATCTAATTTCTTACACTAGGTTATCAATCTGATCCATTTACTGTATTCTAATAGTTATTCTAAACTGCAGCAGAGGATGAAGCCAGCTGTGATGGTAAATAACTGCCTAACTGTTCTAGTTCTAGAAAGAAATTTTGAAAAGGGTAGGGTGATACTAATTTTCCTTACATTCTTTAGGACATTTCAATGATGCTCCAGGATCAAAATAGCACAAAGAAACACTTAAAGAGTTTGGAGTAACTGCTATTGGTTTATACAATAATTAAATGCTTTTCTATCTCGATGCTTGTTTTAGGGGTTGTAGAAGGTGATTTAGGGGCCATAGAAGCATACAAATCATCAGGAGGAGATATTGCGCGGCAGCTCACTGCGGATGAAGTACGCTTGCTGAACCGTCCTTCTGCCTTCGATGTTGGCTATACTTTGGTCCACTTGGCTATACGATTTCAGAGGCAGGATATGCTAGCAATATTGCTTACAGAGGTGAGTGTTGCACTTTGGGATTAAGTGTGCTTTCATGTCAAATTTTATTTTTAATGAATGTTAAGTGTTTCTCCAAAGGACTCTTCAATGTTACCAGGTTGGTGACAGTAGATAACAGAGCTGACTGGCTCATTTGAGGATGGTGCCAAACTCTTTTACTTACCAGCCAAAATTTTGATGGCAAAATTTTCCATAAAGTTTTTTTGGTGGTACTGGGGTTTGAACTCAGGGCTTCATATTTGGTAGGTAGGTGCTTTTCTTCTTGAGATACTCCACTAGCCCTGGAATAGATTTTTTGAGCTTCTTAAAATACAACTAGAATGAAGGCAGAATCTTTGTATCATTTGCTGCTTTTCAGCATTAAAAAGGAGATATTCTAGTCAGTGTGTTTGTTGTAGTTCTTTGCCTGGAGGTCTTTGCAGTAGTGCTCACTATAAGTGCTCACATCCCACTCCTTTCTTGACTTTGAAGGTTATCTATCTGTATTTAAACTTGGAGATGCCAAATGCTACTGGGAGCTGGTGGCTCATGACTGTAATCCTAGCCTGTTGGGAGGCTGAGATTGGGAACATAATGGTTTGAGGCCAGCCTGGGCAAATAGTTCACAAGACTCCATCTGCAAGATAATGAGAGCAAAATGGACTGGAGGTGTGGCTCAAGTGATAAAACTCCTGCTTTGCAAGTACCGAAGCCATGAGTTCAAACTTCAGGCTCCCACCCTCCTCCCCGCCCCCTAAAAAATTTTAGAGCAATACCTAATGGGGTAGAGGGGAAAGGGTTTGAGGCCAGAGGGAACTAACCTGTTTAAATATCATGCTTTATTCCAAGTCAAGATACTTGAAACGTGAAAGAGCATTTGCAATTTTCTTTTTCTCTGTGAACTGAAATTCCTTGTGTTTAGAAAATGTTTTTATTGAGTACATTATGGTTAGTCCATCTAGGTTTTCTGTCCTTCCTCCCCCTCATGATACACCTTTACGAACATCGGCATTTACATAAATTTTTATGTACATGTTTATTTTCTTAGGGGTATACTCTGCTTCTTTGGAAGAAGTCGAAATACTGAAGCAGGATAAAACATTTTTTATGGTTGTTTTCCTGAAAAGTTGTACTGATATACTCAGTACATTTAAGATTAAAGAAAAAAAAAAAAAAACCCTAAGTTATTTGGAGAAATTTTGCTAATTTCTTTTAATGTTGTGTTTTGTTTCCAATTATGATAAATGAGATACAGAAGAAAGTTTATTTTGTATTTAAGGTGTCTCAACAAGCAGCAAAGTGTATTCCAGCAATGGTGTGTCCTGAACTGACAGAACAAATCCGGAGAGAAATAGCTGCCTCTCTTCATCAAAGAAAGGGGGATTTTGCTTGCTATTTTCTAACTGACCTTGTAACATTTACGTTGCCAGCAGGTAACTCCAAAATTCAATGTGAAAAGAAGTTTCTATTTTATTATAGGTATAATTTTATGTAGGGGTGGAAATAGGTTTTTGTAAGAAAGTAAGTAACTTAGAATCTTAAATGACTTGATGTCTTATTTATGCTGGAGGTGACCAGAGAGAGCTACCTGTAAACAAATGCTTTTGTTATCATAAGATAGTAACTTTGTGGGTCCCAGATATTTTTTAAAGCATGTTTTGCATATAATTTTCCCTTTCTTTTCATGTCTGTCATTTTGAACTTAGATAACTACTGGCTACCTGGTATTAAGAGATAGGATTGGAACATAGGCTTTTGATAGATCTGGTTACTTGAATTAAAGATATTGGCACATTTGAATATGGCACGGCTTTCACTCAATTTATTTCTACCATTGCAAAGCAACTTTTCATTTTTCAGCTTACTGACAGATGAAGGTGTCTTCCAGGTTGTCTTGGTCAGTTGACATTCATTGAGTAAATACACCAAAAATCAAAAGTTTTTTAAAAAAGCTTGCATTTGGGATCTGAATGTTTTGAACTTTTTGTCTTGACATAAAGAGGGAAATTTGCAAATAGTAGGTGGTGATAAGTGAGCCTTCTATAATTGAAGCAGACTTTATTTGAAATGTACTGTATATTAAGCCCACCCCAAGTTATGATTGGATTTTTATTTAGAATTGAAAATGCTTTTGCTTCTTATGACTCCAGGCTACTCTATCATCTAATCTGAATACACTTTAGAGAGTTTGAGGAAGATGGTAAAAACACTATGCCAAAATGCATGGTTCATTAACTTGCATGAGAAGATTCTTCAGTTTGAAAGTAGCAGAAGTTGCCAGTGTTAAGAGAACAAATAAAATTTTATATGTAATTATTGGTCCACATGTTATTATTTATATTTTTAAGTAAATCACAGTTTTGTTAATGCAGTAAAGAAAGGAAATATTTTATAACTCATATGTTACTCATATTTATTAAAGAAGATATCTGACAGTCTTCAGTGGAAAGGGAGTTATTTTAGAGGATATTACTAGAGGCTCACACTTAGTTTATTAAATTATAAAAAACAAGAACATCTTTCAAGTCTGATTTTACTTTGCAGATATTGAAGACTTACCCCCAACAGTTCAAGAAAAATTATTTGATGAGGTGCTTGATAGAGATGTTCAAAAGGGTAAGTATAATAACTAATGAATGTAATTTACCTTCTATCTGATCACTTAATTTTTGCTTTGTAAAGTATGGAGTAGTTCGATACATAGCTAGCTTGCCTTATATTTATTTTTAATTAAAAATGTAATGTCCTTAAGAACATAGTGTCATAGTTTGTTCATTGTGGCTGAGAGTGTGGCTCAGTGGTAGAGCGCATGCCAGCATGTGCGGGTCATGCGTCCCATCCGTATCATCCAGGAAAAAAAAAAAAGAAAAAAAGGACACATTTTATAAGTTTTCACTGTGATAGAGTGAACAGATAAAGATATAAAAGCCTTAAAACCTTGGTTTATAATTCTTATTCCAGAATTAGTATATTTCTATATTAAACATTTTTAGAAAATAAAATTATAAGGGATTTGAAAGCTGAATAAATAATTCCAGAGCCTCAGTGTTTCACCTCTTCAAAAAGTTTACATTCAAGTCGATCAAATTTATTTAGGTCTTTATTAGTAAATTTCATATAAACCTTTTTACATGTTGAAAATAGGTCCTCACTCTACTAAATGTTTTGTAATTATATAGGCATGAAAATGAACATGTTATTTAAATTCCTCATAGAGTTAGAAGAAGAATCTCCAATTATAAACTGGTCCTTGGAGTTGGCTACCCGTTTGGACAGTCGACTGTATGCACTTTGGAACCGGACTGCAGGAGACTGCTTACTTGACTCAGTACTACAAGCTACTTGGGGCATTTATGACAAAGACTCAGTGCTTCGGAAAGCCCTGCATGACAGCCTGCATGACTGTTCACACTGGTGAGCTGGCATCCTTCTCTGTTTCATCCTGGACTGCACTTGCTAAATTGTTCCCTTGTAGTTTTAGGATACTTTTCTTTCTCAGTTATATTTTCTGTGGAAGAGAGGCAAACACCTTTTTGGTTTTGGATTTTAGACACTGAACACCTCAGTGTTTTTTTTTTTTTTTGGCGGTACTGGAGTTTGTACTTAGGACCTACACCATGAGTCTCTCCACCAGCCCTTGTGTGTGTGTGTGTGTGTGTGTGAGAGAGAGAGAGAGAGAGAGAGAGAGAGAGAGAGAGAGAGAGAGAGAGAGAGAGAGAGAGAGAGAGAGAGAGAGATGGATTTTTTTTTCCCCACACAGGGTCTTGCAAAACTGTTTGCTCAGGCTGGCCTCAAACCATGATCCTTCTGATGTCTGCCTCCTGAGTAGCTAGGATTACAGGTGTGAGCCACTGACAACTGGCCCTCAGTGGTTTTTAATATCTTTTTGCTGTGCTTTAAGATAGAAACATTTGTAGCTCTAAAATGGGAACATGTTTTTTCTATACAATTTAAATAATACATTTGAATATTTCTTAAACAACATTAATAGTTTCTCTTGTTTTGGTTCAGTACTGGTGGGGTTTTAACTCAAGGGCCTCACACTATGACTTGAGCCACTCCACCATCCTGTTCTTTATTTTTCCCCTTTTTTGGTGGGGGGCAGTGCTGGGGTTTGAACTTATGGCCGTGAGCCTCCTAGTAAGGTACTCTACCACTTGAGCCTCAGCCTTGGCCCTTTTTTGCTTTTAGTTTAGGTTTTCTTGTTTTTTTTTTTTTTTAGGTATGTCTTGCATTTTTTTTCCAGTACCAGCCTCAGATTGTGATCCTCCTATGTACATCCTTTCACATAGCTGGGGTCACAGTTGTACTCCATCAGACCAAGATTATTGATTGAGATGGGGTTTTGCTAGCTTTTTGCTTGTGCTGGCCTTGAAACCCTATCCTCCTGATTTCTGCCTCCCAAATAGCTTGAGACTATAGGCGTGACCTGCTGTGGCCAGCTCCTTTTTTTCCTTTTTAATTTTTTTTTTTTTTTTTTGAGATAGGGTCTTGTTGCATAGTATAGGCTGCCTTTGAACTCTTAAATTCTTTTGCCTCAGCTTTCTGAGTGCTTGGATTACAGGCATGTACCACCATGCCCAGCTAACATTTACCTTTAAATACGGTCTTTTTTCATAATTTTAAGTATTTATGATTTCATATTTTCATTCAGCTTAAAAATATTATTTTGGCATTTTGTATTATGAGCTGTTTTTCTTACTGAGGGAGGGAGTCTTAATATTACAGTTTGCCAATTTTCAAACCACAAAAAGGTTAAAAAAAAAATCAGTAGATCCCAGTATGTCCATCGTTAGATTGACTCGTTGTTAACAATTTGGGACCCCTGCTCTGTCTGTACATTTCTCTGTACCAATTAGTTTTAGGTATCATAAAGTTTTACCCTTCATTATTCCAATATTTATCTTTCCAGAACAAGAGTCTTCTACCCCAGCTCACCTAAGAAAAGCAGCACTAACTCAGTTATCCACCATAGTCCATGCTCATGTTTTTCCCAGGTGTCTCACATAATCCACACAAACCTAGATTGTCTTCAACTGTGAATTCATGCATTTTGATACCAAGCACTGAAGACAGTCTCTCTGCTTTTGAATAGTTTGGTCTTTACATTTATTATTTGACTTTTGGTATTTTTTTGGTTCTGAGAATACATTGTCCTACTTAGCTATCACATAGGTTTTTTTAGGTGGGACTGGGGTTTTGAACTCATCTTCATGCTTGGAAAGAGGACTGTACCACTTGAGCCACACCTGCAGTCCATTTTACGCTGGTTGTTTTGGAGAGGGGGGGTCTTGTGAACTATTTGCCTGGCTGGCCTTGAACTACATCCTTCCACTCTCAGCCTCCCAAGTAGCTAGGATTACAGGTGTGAGCCACTGACACCTGGCTATTTGCTATACCTGTCCTTTTATAAATTATGTAATTGAGGTGTAGGAAGCTAAATTAAATTATGCATTTTTGAAGTTAGTAACAAATCATTTAAAAATTCATACTACTTTATGTCGCTAACAAATTGCTTTGTCTCATATCAGATTGAGTGCTCATAAATAATGCTAAAGGCCCTACTCCAACTTTATTACTGTTACATTTTTGAACACTTACTAGTTGTGAATTTTATTATATTTAGGGGTTACATGAAGTCCATCAGAATATAGAGTATAGAGATTTGTTTTGTTTCATTGTGAAAGATCTAGTACCTAGAATACCTCGACACAGTGAGTACTTGTTAGAATTAGGAAGGAAATGAGAATGATATAATTACAATTACCTCTAAAAAACTGAATTATAAATCAAAGAGTAATCTAGGAGAGTAAAAATTTGTGATTACCTGAAAAAAAAATCTCCTGGCTGAAAAGCTTGGGTATAAATCTGACTGGATGTAATATAGCTAAAGAAAGATTTTGTCTCTCAGGTAGATGTTTTAGTCATATAGTCTTTGTCCAGAAAAGAGGGCATTGTGCCTCTTAGTAGAGGTGGGTACCATGATTGATCTAGTAGTATGGTAAGACCATTCCTGTGGTGAGGTGTTCATCAGTCTAGGTAATAAGCCTGATGCCATTTTCAGTGTTCAGTTTAACTAACCCCACTTCATCAGATTACATGTTTATCAAGCAACAGTCTGATAGTGAGTTAGATATCTCTATGGGCCTGCCTGTAGAAACTGAGAAGATGAGCTTGGTTTGGTTCTTATGAAAGCAGTTTCTTGGAATTCTAGTTTTAGGGATCTACCTTATAAATTTGGTTAATGTGACTGCTGTTAAGATGTATTGCCTAGTGTTGATGAAGTCTAGCTTCTTAGTTGGAAAGCTAGATCTGGACTGTGGTAAATCTACCACTTTGCAAATGCCCCCTTGAAAAAGGGAGCTTGGAGCTGGGCAGGGTATGAGTGCCTTTAATCCCAGCACTTGGGAGGTGAAGGCAGGAGGATAGCAAGTTTGAGGCCAGCCTGGGCTACATAGCAAGAACGTGTCTTTAAAAAAAAAAAAAAAAAAAAAAAAAAGGACAGCCTGGCAGTCTCCCCTCTGGTGGTATTATCCTGATCATGTTGTAAGAGTGAAAATATACTGTGAGTTTTAGCAGGTGATGTCATTTTCCTAATTCTAAGTTGGTTTCTTTTTTTTTTTTAAAGACATTTGTGACTAGTAATAATAGCCTTGGGAATTTATGATACCTATAACTCAAAACTAGCAGTAGGGGATCTTCTGAATTGGTGTTGCCACTAATATTTCTACTAAGATTGAAATTCTCAGGTGATTGTGAGTTATTTGAGTACTTATTTAGTCTAGCACAGAGGTAGCAAGTAAATAGGCTAGGTGAGAAGAATGACTGTTAGAGTGAGAAGAAAAGGAATAAGACTGTTTACAGCCACTGGTAAGTATTGTTGCAGCAGGACTTTGAGTAAGTAGTCCTGACTCTTACCAGGATGTTCAGGGGGGAGTATTTGCAGCTAGAATGTGGATAGGACTCCCAATATAAAGAATGCTTTGGCACCACCTCCTTGGATCCCTGCCATGAGATACCTTTTCCTGATGTTTCAGAGCTCAGGAATAGGAAACTGAATTGAGTATAGTGATCATACAGGGGCATCCTTTCTGTCTTGGTGGAGTTGGGGTGAAGATTGTAATGGGGAGAGAAGAAGTGTTACTGCCGTCGATTCACAGGTTCAGTAGCAGCAGCTATTTCATTGAGCTTGATGCATAACCATGATAGGGTCTAGAATGAGAGGGGGTGAACAACCGGGTCCTGACCTAGGCCAGGAGAGGAGGTGACAACGCATCACTTGTGAGGTCTTCTTTCTTTGCACATAGTCAACTGGAAGAGAGATTTTCGTAAGTTATATAAAATTCCTAATGGGAACTGAGAAGGCAGTTTTCTATTATATGATCTCCTCCTCCCATCTACTTCAAGGTAGGTAGGCTATTTTATATTTTTATGTGCTTGTAGTTCCTTGGTTGTGTTGGATACCTTGGATTGAGCTGACTCAAGTTCTCAAGACTGAATATACAGTATTATACTAGCCGTTCATGAACATGTCAGTCCAGTTCTCAGAGGAATGGATGGGGTAGTTAATATAAATAAGGAAAAAAAAGTTAGTGCTGTTTTTGCTTTTCAGTAGAATTATTGGTAGTTTTGAGTTCTAGGTATACTTTTCAGTGTAAATTACCATAAATGCTGTTTGGAAGAACAAATACATATATAATTATGCCCTCACCAAATACATATAGTGAATAACCTGTGCTGCTATGTGGGTAGATAAAATTATAATGAAAAATAAATAGACAAATGCCTTAAAAATTTGAAGTCTGCCGGGCACATTCGTTCTCATCAGGAGACTGTGACGGGGAGCATCACTGTTCAAGGCCAGGCTAGGCAAGACGTTAGTAGACTCCATCTTAACCAGAGAAAGGCTGGGCTCCGCGGCGTGCAGTTCTGATCCCAGTATTTGGGTGGTGTAAGTAGGGTCGCAGCCTAAGGCAGCTAAGCAAAACTATTTGAAAAATAATCTGAGGCAAACAGGGATGGGGGCGTGGCTCAAGTGGTAGAGCACCTGCCTAGCAAGTGCAAGGCCCTGAGTTCAAATGCCAGTACCCCTCCCCAGTCAAAATTCTAAGCCTGAATTTCACTTCTTCCTAAAAACAAGTAGATTTATCGAAATACTGCTTGCATGTCATAAATGTACTTGTTTCAAGAATACTCTTCACTGATTATTAAATTTATAAAATTGTGCAGCTGCAACTCCACAAAGAAAACCTTGTAGCCAACTGTTGATCTACTTTCTGTATTTGTACATTTGCCTTTTCTGAACTTTTTTTTATAAATGGGACCATAAAATAGATTACCTTTGTGACTGACTTGTTTTAATTAGCATACTTTGCTTGTTACTCAACAATATTCCATTGTATGGATATATGCTTCATTTTGTTTACCTGTTCACCAGTTGATGGACATTGGGTTGTTTCCAGTTTCTAGCCATGCTGACCCTTCATGCCAGGTCATGTAATAAATCTGTGTTTAACATTTCAAGAAACTGCCAAAGTAATTTGCAGTGCCTGTACCATATACATTCCTATCAACAGTCCATTAAGGACTCAATTTTTTCATACCCTCACCAATACTTACTATTTTGATAATAGCCCTTCTTATGCACACAAAGTGATATACTGAGGATACTTGGAATATCTTGTCATGTGCTTATTGATCATTCATATATACCTTCTTCAGTGAAATATCTTTCCCTATTTTTTGCTCTTTTCTGATGCTGTCTTGAATATGCTAGGTAAGCACTCTGTCATCGAGCTTCACCTTAGCCCTCTTATGCTCATTTTTGGAGGGGTTGTCTCATTATTCACATGCAGATATTCCTTATGTATCACGTCCATAAGAAGATGGTCTGTAAATGTTTTCCTCCATTCTGTGACTTATCTTTTCACTACATTAATAGTACCTTTTGAGGCATTAAAATCTTTAACTTGTAGTACTGCTTATCATTTTTTAAAAATTACTAATGTTTTTGCTGTTCAATCTAAAGAAATCTTTCCTGGCCCAAGGCTACAAAGATTTATTCCTGTGCATGAGAATTTTATAGTTTTAACTTTGACATTTAGGTCTTTGATCCATTCATTATGAGCTAACTTCTGTTTGAGGGGTGAAGTATAAAGGTCTTGAGTTCATCTTTTTGCAGTATTGTGTATTGAAAAGACTGTTTTCTCTTGACATGAATTATGTAAACAGTATGTTAAATAAATGATTGCAACACTAAAAGTACAGTTTATAGAAGGTTTATTTATTATTATTTTGTTTGCTATCTTGTTGTTAAGGTTTTACACACGCTGGAAAGATTGGGAATCATGGTATTCTCAGAGTTTTGGTTTACATTTTTCGTTGAGAGAAGAGCAGTGGCAAGAAGACTGGGCATTTATACTCTCTCTTGCTAGTCAGGTAAGGATGTTTCAAACCTTGTTGCTGCTGCTATGGAGAGGTAAGCCATATCTAAAGATCTTGATTTGCTTGGCAAACCATGTTGGAAGCAGTGTGGTACAAAGGAAAGAAGCTTGATTTGGGTACTAGGCATGACTGCTGTTTGCCAAATATATGACCATAGCAAGTTCTCACTGTAGAACTCAGTGCTGTGTTTCTTTGAACAAGTGATATGTCAAAATGAAATTTGTATTCTGGTGATTTTAAGCACTATAAAGTCTTGAAGTTGTTCTCAGCATAGGAGTGTTTATGCTTATTTTTTCTGCCTACTTGTGAGCTCCTGTTGTGTGCTTGAGGTGGGGTCTTAACTACCCAATAACTGAACTAATAGTAGGTTCCTTATATGATGGAACTGAGCGTCAGGACCTAAGAAAAAATTGGTATTCTTCAGAATGTTCTGATGGTGAGGCTGCATCCATGTGCTGTAGGCAGAGGAAAAGGCAGTTTAGCATACATTGAACAGAGTGCCACTCCTCAGGTTTATTTGAACCCTGAGATGGTTATTTACCTTCTGTTCAGGCCATATAGACATGGTTCTTAGTGGCTAATTTGTATGAGGCACAAACCTCAGAACCACGTGTTGTCACTGTAGTTGGAAGATAAACCCCACTTGAATATTAGTATCCAAACATTAGGTGATAATGCCATTTCACTTTATATGAAATAAAGGTCTTTGTTATATTTCAGGAAGACTGTTGTAAGTAGTGCTTTCGCAGTAAGCTTAGAATGTGATTATATGGTGTGTCCCTTGCTATGTGGATCTTTGGTTTCTGAGATTGGAGAGTGAAGAGCAAGATATTTCAATATTTATCAACTTCTGTTTGGTTTGTGAGTTTCAATAGTGAATGATACCTATGCATAGATAGTGTAGATTTGTGTTACAATGTTACTGAACTTTGCTGTTTGAGAGAGTCATATGTTTTAACTTGACAATGTTGAGATATATAGCATAGTGAAGAAGTTAGCATTGCTTTTTACATTTTAGTTTTCTAGGAGTGTTAATAAGTGATTTAACGAGAAATTGCCCTTTTTGTTGTTCTGTACAGCCTGGAGCAAGTTTGGAACAGACACACATTTTTGTACTTGCACATATTCTTAGACGACCAATTATAGTTTATGGAGTAAAATATTATAAGAGTTTCCGGGGAGAAACTTTAGGATATACTCGGTTTCAAGGTAAGCCATTATTCAAGAGCATTTCCATAAGTCTCATTTACTATGATAATATAGTTTGCAGGCACAGCCTGAAGCAATTAGAGTGACTGACTCTTGTATGTCAGGAGGTAGTTGTGGGATGTGCACCTTTGTGATCTCCTCTCATTACTTTCTAGGAGTTTATCTGCCTTTGTTGTGGGAACAGAGTTTTTGTTGGAAAAGTCCGATTGCACTGGGCTATACAAGGGGCCACTTCTCTGCTTTGGTTGCCATGGAAAATGATGGTTATGGCAACCGAGGTGCTGGTGCTAACCTGAACACTGATGATGATGTCACCATCACATTTTTGCCACTGGTTGACAGTGAAAGGAAGCTACTCCATGTGCACTTTCTTTCTGCTCAGGAGGTAAGCAGCATGTTTCTCCACTAACCACACAATAACCTTATACCAGAATCTAGCCTAGGGTATCTTTTGGGTGTGGTTTTATCTTTCAGGCATGTATTACCAGTTAAATTTGGGTATGATTGTAGTAACTGCTGTTTTCTGTAAATACTAGTTAGACAGACTTTGAAATTAACCTTTACAAAATTGCTGTGTGGGGCACAACAAAGAACTAAAGTGTAAAGTCCTTGCTCTCAAGTGGTGATGAGCGCCAAGAAGAAAAAGCACAAAAACTGGGTGATTAGATTTGTGACTGAAATAGGGTGTTAAATATTAGGGCATGGTCTAAGTGTTGGAGGGCTTGCTTACGTATTAGCAAGCAGAGGCCCTGAGTTAATAAAAGGTAAGGAAACAGGTGTCACAGAGGGTCGTGAGTCTTTTAGTCTGGGAAAATAGAAGTTGAAAAATTGCAGGGACACTGTGGCTTAAGGAGTGGGTGAGAAGAGGGCCTGGGCAAGATGAGGTCAGAGGTGATGATGGTGAGACAGGGTTCATCAGAGCTCTTAGAACTCTGGCTCATGCTCTGGGTGAGCTGGGAAGCCAACAGCCTATTTGCCCAAAGAGCAACACAGGCTGCTTGTTGACCACTGCATGGTAAGTACAGGGGAGAGTGAGTGTGGTGCAGACTGGGCAGGGGAGGTGATAAAAAAACACTCAGAAAACCTGTGTTTTCATAAAATTATTTATCTTTTATTCAGGGTTTTAGTAATGACCATAAGACGTTTATAGTTACAACATGAGAAAAAATTCATAGACCATGACTTGTACAATCTGTGCAGAATTTACTCAGTATAACTTACCTTGTCAAGTGTTTGAAGCTGTCACTTCTGGTATTTTCTTTGTCGTATCAGTTTACTAGAACAATTGCTTTTTGCTTTCATCTGAAACAAATGGTCTTCTAGAGTGTTCTCTCTAGCTTTTTCTTAGAAATTCCCCAGTGATAACTGGAGAAAATTGGGTTTCAACTGTAAAGCTGTTAGGTTGAAATCATGTTAAAACTTTGTTGCTTTGGCTTTTTTAGTGTCATGCCAGTGGGTTATTCTTACCAAGTCTCTGATCTGTTGTATTATTTTCTCTATTTTCCTTCATTGCTCCTCCAAAAGCTAGGTAATGAGGAACAGCAAGAGAAACTGCTCAGGGAGTGGCTGGACTGCTGCGTGACCGAAGGGGGAGTTCTGGTTGCCATGCAGAAAAGCTCTCGGCGGCGAAACCACCCCTTGGTCACACAGATGGTAGAAAAGTGGCTTGATCGCTACCGGCAGATCCGGCCTTGTACATCCCTGTCTGATGGAGAGGAAGATGAAGATGATGAAGATGAATGAAAAATACCGAGGAGCATAAGACCAAGGCATCAGATATGTGATGGCCCCAAAGTTAGTGTGGTGCTTCAAGCAGAGTGTACCATGTGGAATGACCAGATCTGACAGGATCTGCTCAGAAGTATTTTTCTGATCCACACCCATTGGAGATAATGCATATGCTGCATGAAGAGACAGAGAACTTTGGTTGATCGACAGTTTGTAAAAAACAACAACAACAACAAAAAAAAACCAAAAAAACCCACAAAAACTAATTTTATTGACAGATCTTTTTTCCTTTCAAATTGTAAATCTGCCTATACATGTAATGCATGTGGTTGTGTAAGAAATTGTGTAATAGGAAAAGTTGTACCAGCATCTTCATATTGAGAAATTTTTTTCCAGCATGGGCACTTACAACAAGCACATGGCAGACAACTCTTACTCCTTCATTAGGACCTGGCATTCTACTTTCACCTTAAAAGATCCATTTTACATCAAGTCTCAGAGATTTGGAAATTTTGTACAAATTATCCACAGCAAAACATAAAAAAATAAACAAGTTTTTATTTTATTAATTAGTTTCTGTTGTGCCCAATAAAATCAAATCTTTTAGGAAGAAATAAGAAAAGCTAATAATTTTTTTTTAATTGAACACAGATATTGCCTCCTTGTTTTGAGAGGGTTTTGGTTTTTGTTGCCTTAGTTTTCTGATTTGATCCCTTTCAGTATTTAGATATTTATTTGTTTGGAAGAGTGCCCGAAAATAGGGGTTTTACTTCAGACTCTGGTCAGTGGTTGCTTTTGTGTATAGTTATTTCCTGGATTGAAAGGGAGCAGGCTTACTTGTCACTGAATGGAATGTATGAAATTTGTTCACCTGGACTCCATCAATGTTCTGCTCTTCTTGCAGAGGTCCTCCAGAGTCTTCCTGTTTTATTGTCACCTCTGCTCTAAGCAAATGCTATTAGAAGGACATGCCTTTGCTTAGGCAGATTGGAATACCAGTTGAGTACAGAATAAAGAACTTTAAAATGGAGCAAGGTGGTCAATGCATTTTATGAATTTCTATCTAGTCTGAGGATTTTTGCATGTTCGTTAGTTGTAGTCATTCTTATTTAAAGTTAAAAATATAATGTTAGGTAGAAAAACTTTTTATAAAAAGTATTACTTGACCACTTCAGGTATACATTCAATACTGGGTAAAATTTCTGACCTATTTATCTCAGGAACACAAGACTTAGTGTCCTGATAAGCACTTTGTAGACTATTGATGTGGCAAGGAATTTGCAAAGAAGCATATACACACACACAGAATTTTTCCTTCCCTTGTAGAAGGCTGTGAAAACCTTTTAAATATTTGCTTCTTATTTTCTGTTTAGATGGTATTGAAATGTGCACAACCTCAACTGATGCTGGAAACACTAAAAATAGAAAAATATCTGTGAGCTGTCATGTCTTTAGTTCTTTCTTTCCTGTGAACACTTACTAAAAGTGTTCCTAGGATGAAGGGATCATTTTTGCTGCATGCTAATACTTTGGAGAAAGTTTTTTTTTTTGCAGTATGATTCCATATAAATGAATTTTGCTATAATGGTAAATATTACTGTTCTAAGTGGTTTATGTTTTCTTACAAACTGATTTTATATGCTTTGATTTCATTTTGGTCAGTAATTAATAGCCAAATTTTTAGAAGACCACTATTCTGACTACTTAACAGCATTTGTAGTTAAGTATTCTCCACATATGTGGGGGGCAGAAATTCTGTTCAGATTGTTAGGAAAAATCTGCCCTCCCAAGTGAAGAAGCCAAAGAGAAGTATTGAGGGAAAGTGAGGGAGAATCATCTGGTCTGCATTGTGCTCAAACGCTGTTCAGTCAGACTGAGTACTGAGCTTCATTCTGTGTGTTGTGGTCTGGTGAGTGTGTCATTCCCATCCCCCACTTCCCTTTTTATTTATTTATTTATGATTGGTAATCCTGACCACATAGTTTGATGGGTATAGCTTTCTTCCCTGTGGGAAAGAATTTATAGATGGTTCCATTTCCTAGGCTCCAAAGACAGTAATGGGATTAAGTGGTTTTCACAGAAGAGTGGCTGGCTGTTAAAAGGCCAAAAATTTTGGTAAATCAATGCTATGTTAAGCTCTTGAATTATTAAACAGCCATAATTACTGTCCCAAGGCAGAGTATGCCGTCCTTTGTCAAAGATTATACGTGGCTGAGTGATAGACATGAATGTCCTCAGTGGACTGTGGACTTTATGGTTCTTTTTCTAGTGTGAAACCAATATAGTGTTTTCTGTCTTGATCTTGTTCTTCTTTGGAGTCAACGTATATATATGATCATTTCCAAAGGACTGTTTGAGCAATCAAGATCTAATTAAACAAAACCCAGGCGTACCATGGATCCAGACCTGCTGCCTTTTTCTATTTTTGACTCTTAGCATTTGTCAAGTCTGGAACACAGTGAACTTAAGTAAAAAACACAGCTATGTGTAGATGGTTGGGGCCTGTTTTTGGTGCATCTTTCTTTGTCTGTTCGGTAATGGTTAATGAAGATAATGCTAAACTATGTTTCTGTTTCCTGGAATGATAGGTCAGTAACTGTGTCTGCCAGGTATCTTTCTTTTTAATGTAATTTTCATGGCGCAGTTGGCATGGGGTCACAACCTGAAAATAAGTGAGGCCAGGCAGACTGATGCTATAAGACACTTTTTTTAAATAAGAAGGATAAGGATGGGTGGGACTTTATTACTAATATGAATGGTTTAATGCTATTTTAAAAGGAAGATCCATTAAATGAACTTAAAGTTCTCAATCTATAGAAATGGCTGTTAATTATTTTGTTTGTTTGTTTTTGGGCAATACTTCATTTGTAGCTACTTTAATAGGTTATTGGCCATCGCCCATCCCCCTACCACCACCCCCCCCCCAATTCTAAAAGTTGACCAGCTTTGTTTCCGGAATTGATTTTGCTCTAATTATTTCATTTTAAGGAGACCATAATTTGAGAATGGTGGGCTTGTGTAAGGGCTTGGTTTTTCAGTTAAACACTGTGTCACAGGTAATTGTCGGCATTCTCAAGTCTGGCTAGATAGAAGCTTGGAGTAACAAGTTGGAAATTGGCTAAGTGACAACGCAGTTGCCTTTAAACATCTCAAGTGGAGAACTTTTACATGGTGAGATGTACTTGAATTTCAGAACTTAAAAGAAATTTTAATTACTTTTTATTGAAAACTGCACTGAACGCTAAATGTCCACCTTTACAATAAACAAATACAGTAACGATAACTCACACTAAAACAAAACATATTTCTGATAGCCATTATTTTCTGTTTGGGACAGTTTAAAGTTTTTCTTTTGTCACAAAAACAGGAATGTACCTATACAAAGGCTCGAAATAGGCCATCTTTTTAAACAAAAAGGCAATGATTCACAAAAGACTATGAGTAGAACATGTAACTAGTTGATACAAATCTAATAGGATTTGTTAAAATCAGTCACATCTAATAACACATCTGAAGTGTTCTTGTATAAAATATCACGTGAAGAAAAGAATTTATCAATGTCTAAAAAAGTGGGTTTGTTCATAGACAATCTGACAAGTTACCATAAAAAGTGTTTCCTGAGACATAAGGAAATGCAACATTATTCTTCTTGAACCCTTCAGTTCAAGACTTTTCCACTCAATAAAATAGCTGAGGATCTGAAACTGAGAAAATATATTTGAGTACAAACAGCTTGTGAAACTTAATACTTTTTTCTTTCTTTCTTTTTTTTTTTTTTTTTTTGCATCATCAGAGGGCATTACGGAACTTACACCCAACTTGCCTGCTCAGAACGCAGTTCAGATGTGAGACACTTCTGCACAGGAGCCTGTACTGTCTTCAATCCTACCCGTGCAGATGTCTAACACAGGCAAACAGTTTTCTCCCCATTTCGCAGTAATTTAATCTTCCTATTAGCAAAAAGAGGTAACGAGCCCCTATCGACCAAAGGGACTAGAGTCATAAGATGGGGATTTCCTCTCAATATTTTTTTATTTTGGTGTTTGGAACTCTTGATGCAACATTCTAGAGCAAGTTGCTCAGGACCTGCTGTGCCCAAGGAACTGATAAAGGAAAAAAGCTCTATTTATTCTTTGTGATTTGATGCACAGATGAAAAACTTAACACACAATAACAGAAGTTGGTCGTTAATAAATCACTCCTAGTCTTTCAGCGCTTCTGTAAGCAGATGACACCTTCAGTTTTCTAGCTTTTGTAGCTTTAACACTGCAACATCAATGATGCATATGTCCAGAATCAGTTAAAAAGACTTTCATAATCCTTTTCTCTTAGTTCATCCAATTTTCCACGTCTCTTGTCTTGGTCCCAAGATTATCTGAATGATTACCTTTCAGCATTCTCTGCTATTGCTCATTGGGGTGCTCTCGATTGTCCCCATGTTTAGTGGGCTGGTTGGGAGAGGGAGCTTGGGAAGGGTGTGCCACCGTAGGGAGGTTGTGAGTTACCGGGATGCCTCCGGGGATGATCCCTTCCATGGCTGCAGGAAGTGCTCCTGGAGCCACGCCTACGATGCCTGGTGGATACCTAAGGATGACAGGGAAAAGGACCTTGTCAGTCTGAGCACTTGGCTCTTTTTCTACTTCTAGTCTGGTCTTTTTCACAATTATTATGGGATAGTTGTATTCCCTAGTCGAAGGAGAAATCTAGATTTTTTAAATGGTTCATTTAAAAAAAAAATAAAGCAACTTAGTCTGATCACAACACCAGGCTGTTAATTATGTGGGTTTTAGGGAACAGGAATGATTACTGCCTATGGATATTGTACCATGTACAAAATACATTTTGTACAGAATAGGTTCCAAGTTTGCTGGTTGCATTTGGAAAGTGTTAGGCTGATTTTATGATTTCCCACCAGATGACACCAAGTGTTCTCAGAAAGTTAAGTGTGGCTATTAGGGACTGAATGTTTCCTTCCCAAATTTTTATATTCAGATCCTGTCCCCTTCGGGATAAGCCCTCATGAATGGGATTAGTGCCCTTAAGAAGGCCAAGTTAGTTCTTGGGCGTCTTTCTACCAGATGAGGACATAGAGGTAGATAGTGTATAACACAGAAGAGAGCCCTCAGCAGACTCTTGTTCTGATACTTCAAGCCTCTAAAACTGAGAAATAAATACATGGTTCATAGCTACTCAGACTTTGCTTCCTAGACTGGTTAGTTTTATGTACCCCAGGAACAGGGGAATTAAGTGTTCTGGCTGTTGGCTCAGTGCCTGCCTTCCTCTGCATGCTGAGCTGGACTCATTTTTACACTGGAGGCACAAGGCTGGGTCTAAGGACATGCTGAATGCATTGTCCACCTACAGAACATGGGGTTCTTAGGCACAAATGTGAGTCTCATTCAAAGTTATTAAACCCTTTGTAACTGAGGTAATGAGAATGGTATCACACCGGGAAGCCACCCTGCCCCAGCGCCTCCCCCGACCCCAGCTTTTAAGCTGGTCAGAAATCCCCAGGACCTCTCCAGTCTTTAATTGGTAGGGCCCTTCAGCTCTTACAGTTTCGAACTGTCTGGAGAAATTCAGTGGCACCCTTAAGGGTGGGCTACCAATGTCAATGCATGAGAGATTGCGGTGCTATGATGGGTTCAAAGTCCTTACAAGGGCAAGAAAGATGGGACTAGGTGACTTGGAAGCAACAGTGTGTAGCTTCTTTAAATCTTTCATTACATAAACTGGGCCTAGTCAGCCCCATGGTTCCTGAGGCTAAGATGGGAGACAGTACAACACCCGGAGACATTTTCAGTTGTCTGAACTGTGAGTGGGAGAGGATTCTGCCTTTTTGGCCTCAAGGCTGCAGCTTGGGAGACCATGGGAATTCCCACAAATGAACTTACTGCTCCTTTAACTGGTCCTGTTTTAATCCACTGCCACCACAGATAGACTGTTTACCCCAACTGTATCTGTTCTGTCCTTCGTGAGAACAAGGACTTGCCACCGCCCCCTCCCCCCTTTTTTGTGGTACTGAGGCTTGAACTCAGGGCCTACACCTTAAGCCACTCCACCAGCCCCTTTTGTGTTAGGTGTTTTCGAGATAGGGTCTTGCAAACTATTTTCCTGGACTCAATCCTCCTGTTCTCTGCCTCCTGAGTAGCTAGGATTACAGGTGTGAGCCTCTGGTGCCAAGCTCCCTTGTTAGTTTTAACATTGTTTAGCCAAAGGTTTTCCTCGGACAGAAACTCAAACTATAAAATAAAATCACTAACAGGCCTTTCCCTTAGAAGATTTCATCTTTACCTTTTTGTCTTGAAACCTCTGATTTCACAGTGGCTTCAGAATGACGGGCAGTTCAAGCCTGTGTCACTTACCCTGCATGCCGGGCTACGGCACTGCGGTGGGGCCGATCCCCAATCCCTACCCTCTTTTAACAGGAGCTTCCTAGGCTTGGCGTGGTGGTGCATGCCTGCAATCCGAGCACTTGAAGCTGAGGCAATGAGGATTGTGAGTTTGAGACCAGACTTAGCTATGTAGTGAGACCTGTTTTAAACAACCCCACCCCCAATCTTATTTCTTCGATGAAAATGAGAGGACAGTGTACACAATTCCTATTGCAAAGACTGACTTCTTTAGTTGGCCAGGTAATGCAGACTTTCCGCCCTGCCTCCCCCCCCAAATTCAGGCTTTTCTGGCCTCCCTTTCTTCCAAAGGGTATGATGCTAGTAGACCCAGTTAGTGTAAGTTCCTCTTCTCACCTGTATGTGGCACCATTGAGCTCCGGATGAATTGCTTGCTGGTCTATTACTGACCAAGGAGCGGATGTGACAAAGAATTCCTTGTTGACACAGTTTCTTAAGCTTTCTGGGATGCGACCTAGAGTAAGAGGGTTAAAATTAACCGTGTACCTGTTTTTAGGTACTGTTACACACAGTGGCTTATATACTTGATTGTGTGGAGAAACGGTCTTCACCTGGGTTAGAAAATGCTTTCTGCTTCCTGTGGCCAGGCTCTGCATTCTGCTTACACTGGCTAGACTAGAGAGAACTGGTATTCTCCCTTGAAACTTAGTTCTGGGTTTATATGCACAGAGTCCAGTTAATACAAAGTTTAGCTTACCCTAAAAATGAACCCTGCATTCACTTGTAACCAGCAGAATTAGAGACAGGCTCGCTGTGGCTGTGATGGAGGCGAAGGGGCTCACCTGTGATTGCTCGGCGGATCTCCGTGGCAGCTGCCTCCCTCATCTCTAGTGATGCTTGCTCACTGTACCAGGCCGTGTGGGGGGTACAGATGAGATTCGGTGCATCTTTCAGTGGACCCTGAGCAAAGCTAGGTAAATGTAAAAGGACTCAGTTACAGCAGAGTGGCACTGTATCATAGTTCATAAGGGCTGGGAGTTGGAGAAAATAATTACAACTGTAAGAATAAGTGGACCAGAAAGAAAGAACCAGTTTCTATTGAGGCCTCCCTTTCTCTAACCAGAATGAATACTCCAGGGTGAAGATAGAGCCCGTCTGTTTACAGATCAAAACCAACACTATTGTTTTTCTGCTGCTTCACTCTGATGACCTTTGGGGCACTTTTGGCACTTTTTGCAATTAATGACAATATTGCATGCTTTAAAAAAACAGACTATAAATTCACCTCCAGAATTTCCTACCCAGGGAACTTATCTGGGAAAGTGCCTCAAGTTCATAGTGTGGGGATCAGCTGTAGAAGTGGACCCTGAAGAGGTTAAGCAGTCTGACCACACACCCACCTAAAGGGCTCCGATTCATGCACGTCAAGGGCCGCCCCTCGTATCCTGCCCTCTTTGAGGGCCTGGGCTAAGGCTTTCTCATCCACCAGGCCACCGCGGGCTGCATTCACGAGGAATGCCCCTTGCCTCATCTATGGAAGAAAGAGAAGCCGGTTACATCGTGCTGCTGGATCCATGGCTCTGGAACCAAGGCTAAAGAAAGAAGCTGCAAATTGGGAGTTTGGTCATCTGATATTTCACGTGCTGGCCATGGTTCTGGGGAAGGTTGGCGCTGCCTTTTCGCTCTTGGAATATGGGCCAGCCTGCTTCCCTAAAAGGTAGCTGGCACTGGATGGGAGCCAGCTTGGCTAGCTCCTGTCCTGTGGCCCCCTATCACTGATTTGTCCCAAGAATTCTCTGCTCACTGGTGTGTCTATGAACCATTTCCAATCCCATCTTGTGCCCATGTTGTAGGTGCAGGTAGCAGGTACTGTTACCTTACAACAGAAGCTTCCAGAGTCTGAGGACATCTACTTTTAAATTACCTGCTTAATAGTAAAGTCATTGATGAGGTGGTGGTTATGTTCATTGAGATTGCAGTGCAAGGATACACAGTCGCTCTGATAAAGCAAGTCCTGCAGGGTATAGACCCTCTGTACACCCAAAGACCGCTCTATCCCATCTTGCAAGTAGGGGTCATAAAATATGACGCTGAATCCAAAGGCCTTGGCTCGAACAGCAACAGCCTGCCCCGTGCGACCTGTGCAGAGACAGAATGCCAGGTGAGCAAAAGCATCCTACAAAAGTGTCCTGTGGGCTGTGCATCCCTACACCTTCTTTTCCAGCAAGTGATTACCATCCCTTCTGGTAGCTGGTGACTGAGGTATAGCATCCAAAGTTGAGTGGTATTCAAGGCCAGCATCAGTCCTGTGTGACATTATAGTGCTTGCTGCTTATATTAACCATTACCAGGAATATTTACTATAAAACAAAGACGTCTGGACATTCCCAAGCCTATATACCCAGTTAGAATGTTCTAATGAGCCCCTCGTGTCCCTCCCCTACTACAACACCTGAATCCTCCCAATTCTTGCTTATTCCCCCAGTTTTGGTTTGCACGGGGGGGTTTTTTTTTTTTTTTCCTTTTGAGACAAGGTCTTGCTGTATGTAGCTCATGCTGGCCTAGAACTTGCAATCCTCTTGCCTCAGCCTCCTGAATGCTGGAATTACATCATGCCTGGCACGTGGCAGGCTTCTTAATATAAGTGTCATTACTTTGTTGCTCTCATCATCTGACAGGGTACATTCTCCTGCCTATTTACCATTTGTTTTGCTCCTATAAGGAGTCTGATGATCAAAAGTGACCACTGACATCTGGCCTGAGCACAAATTGGCTCAGAGTGAAATCTCTCTTCAGCTGAAAGGCAGGGCATGTGCCTGTTGGGCTCTGGGCTGTCCCACTGGTGAAAAACCTCTTGCCCAGGTCCTGCATGCAGCCTGGGGCTCCAGAAGTCATAATGGATGCCACATAACAGGACAAGCAACTTTCCAGTGACCATGACTTGCATAACCCCAGTTTCCCGACAGCACTTCCTGCTTCCCAGAGCTGTTTTCAGCTTGAAAACAAAATGCTTGATGCTCACTTGGGGAGATCACAACGTAAATCTTTATCTATAACCCAGTTTGTATGCAACACGAATCCTGTGTCTGAGGAGCAACCTGTTGGTAGATGCCCCCTCCTGCTGAAGCTCAGTTTCCCTGGGCATGACTAAGATGAGTGCCAAGGTTTGGAAGGAAAGGTCTAGTAAGGCCATTCTGATCAAGAGGGACAGTGGCAGTGTCACCAATGGGTCATTATGTCATCTTTCCCAATGCTAAAGTTCCACTGCAGTGCAGGGCAGAGGAGCAGGCAGTACTGGATGGTAGCAGGGGGCAGGAAGTGTGGTAATGAGAGAACTGGAAGGTCCCTCTTGTATGTCCTAGAAACATGGGATTAGCAACTCTGTTGTGTGGCTGAAAACCCACACTTTGAAGCATAAATGCCTCCTTCCACCATGCCAGCTGCCCTTTCTCCCCAGTCTCTAGCCGTGGGATTTCTAACTACAGACCCAATATCGATTCTCAGACCTTGTAGAAAAGAATTTCACCTTTTCCTTTAGTTTTTTCTAAATGTTTCCAAACTGATCAGCCTGAGCAGGGCTCTGTCGACTCTTGCCTACATGTTCAGGACTCAGGTTTAGGTGTTCAGGCAAGTGAAGGCTTTCAGTCACTCATGAGGAGGGCAGAGGTAGTGGGTGGTGGTGCAGCACTAACTGGGCAGCCTGTGACTGTGCCTCCTTTTCTGCCTCAGTATAGTTTTGGGAGGCTACGGAGAGGTGATGGCAGTCTGTGTACCGACCCAGAGAACACTGCGGGGGTTGTGAGCTTGTAGTCTGGAGGAAGCAGAGCTGAAGCAAGGGGAGACTGAGCTTGGTGAACCAAGCTCATGACAGGGCATGGTCAAAGAAAATGCCTCAGTAAGAAGGACCTGTGATGGCTGGAGTCAGAAGCTGCTGAAATGAGACTGCCCACCACTCGACTGGCTGCACAGCTATACTGCAGACATTGCAGCCTGACCACCCCAGACCGATGAATGGATGGCATTTGAAGACCATCTCCAAAGGCCACAGGAAGCCCAGTGGGACACCAGCAGAGGGTGCTGCAGGGCTCACACAGAGTATATGCATCCCTTCAGAAACCAAGGGGTCCTGATAAAGCAGTTTTCAAAATAAGAGCTTCACCAATATGATCCTCCCAGCACCTGGGGACTTGACTGCAGGTCTTGGTTGGAGCCAGAGGCCAGGGAGTCCTGCCCTGAAGGGAAGATGTGTACTCTTAGAATTATCCAATAACTTCTGCCTAGTTCAAGCTGCTTCTTGGGGTCCCCTATGTAAGGCTTCTGGGGCAGGGGGCCTTGGAGCCCTCACACCTAGAATCATACAGCTCTGAGCTAAAGGCTGAGCGAACTGGGGAATTTTCTGGAAGCCAGAATTTAACTACCTACCCCTATGCTTCTCATACCTTCTTTGAGTCCAAGGAGGCAGTACTGTGTATCCCCCATTCCCTATTCACAGAATAGGAAACTGAGGCAGAGAGGTCTTTTCCTCAAGCTTACAGAGCTGGTAATGATGGGCTTGAACTTTGGTGGCAAACCACTGAGGAGGATGAAGTGGGAGTGGGAGGTCCTATGTAAGCTGCTGTCCGGGCATGGCTCAACTTCTCCTTGGTCCTTACCACACTTGATGGAGACCCATACAGGGACTTGCCTGTGTTGTCTCCTTGGCAACTGCCAGGTCCAGAAAGATCATTTCCCAACCCAATCTCTAGGACCCCCTGGCTCAAATCTTTCAGTGACATCCTGTTGCCACATCAGAATGGCATTCCTAGAGTCTTTAGGACCTGACCTTGCCCGTTGCCCAGGTCACCACTCAACGGCTGCCAGATTCTAGTCCCACGCCTTTTTGTTGCTCTGTGATGCACCCTGCACAACCTGCCCTTTACTCTCTGTTCAGGAAAATTTCACAAGCACTGCCTCATCCCGCTGTTCAACAACAGAGGATGCTGTCCTGCTGTGTCACCCAGTCAGTCACATAGACTCAGGCCCAGATCTCACCTGAGTGAATTCCCTAATTGCTCTTGGTCCCTGTTCATGGCAAAATACCTTCTGGTGGCTACAGCAGTGAACCTGACCTTCCAGAGAAATAGGCATCCCTGGCTCCTCAAGGGCAGGCCAAGTGTGACCTGGGGAGGGGCAAAGGCACCTACCAAAGCCAATGAGGCCCAGTGTCTCCCCACGGATTCGGGCTGCTCCCGAGGCCACCTCTCTGATCTGTTCCACGCTCTGTACCCGTGTGCCTTCCCGCAGAGCCTGGTAGAGCCATGTGTTCCGCCGGTACAGATTGAGGATGTGGCAGGTGGTGGAATCAGCCGTTTCTTCCACAGCTGCAGATGGGATGTTGCAGACAGCGATCCCTGAAAAGGACACGATGAGGCCGAGAGATGAGAAAAGCCCTGGTTCTGCAGGGAGGACCCAGGTCTCCCACCATGCCACCCTGTTGGGAGATGGGGTTGTTAGCATGGGGGAGAGGCAGGGTTTGGTCTGTTAGCCATTAGCCACTGTGAGGCCCTGAGATAATCCAGTCTGTCTCCTAGGGTTGGGACAGATGGTCAGTAGGCTCTCTGGCTCTGATGCTCACGTATCTCCCCAAAAGGCCTGTAGGTTCAGGACCTGGGCTTGGGCCTGAGCAGCTTTCTTCCAGGCCTGCACTAAGTTGGGAGCCTCAGTCCCACCCTAGTAAAACATTAGGGCTGCTCAGGGCAAAAGCCCCCAGGGTCCTCCTTGTGGGGCTAGGCTGAGGTTACAGAGATTGGTTTCTTGTTTTACGGTGCTTTTAAGAGTGTCATGCAAAAACTTCCAAGGTATTACTTGTTTTAAAACAAATCTCAAGTGCCAGCCTGGCTATACTGTCTTAAACAAACCATCTTCAGCTAACATGGACACAGGCTGGAATGCAGAAGGCTTCCATGGCCATGGAGAACTAATGCAAGTCTCAGACAGGAAGAGCCTAGGCATTTGCCTTCCTTGGTTAGGGGGTATCGAGGAGGGGTACAGCTGGACTGAGGCCCAGGTTGCAGACATCCTGCCTTGCTGCCCAACAGGTCTCACAGACCAGGGACCCCTGAAATGCACGCTCTGACCCACATGTCTCTGCAGATTGTCAGTGCACACCGAACCCATGTAGTGGGTGAGAAAAGAGAGGCTGTCAGGCTTTTTGGGTGCTTTTGCCCAGGAGTGTGAGAAGCAGGCAGGAGCCCTGACATTGGGTTTCTACTGTTGTCTTTGGTTTTCTTTGGAAACTCCAGCTGTGAAGGGCTGGGTAGGGGGCCAGGCAGTCTGGGATAGTCTTCAATCCCAGAATCCCAGGGTCTTCTCCACCCCTGGCAAGGGTAGTTTTTAGGGTGATGTGGGGCCAGTTGTATCCTCCAGTCTGAGAAGAGGAGCTCACTGGCTTCTCTTTAGGTCCTTCCAGACTCTGGGTCTTCTGGGAGCTCTGGGTTCTGCAGGGACCGTCTACCTGCAGTATGCGAAAATGGAGTGGAGCCACAAGGTCCTTCTGAGGTCCCACGGGAACCAGTCACCATTCCACAGGCAGAACCTGCCATACTCACCAAGCTCGCCGGCAGCCTTGATGTCGACATTGTCGTAGCCACTGCCGATGCGCACAATCACTCTCAGTGCCTTGAACTTCTCCAGGTCTTCCCTGGTAAGGGTGATGGTGTGGTACATCATGGCGCCCACGGCTTCGTTTAACACCTGCAGCAAGAGACAGACTGCAGGTCAAGAGCCCCCAGTACCACTGGGCGAGGGGAGGTGTCCCTTGTGTCCCACGACAACTGAACCCAAAGTAGAGGATTTCGGTAGGAAAATCATAGGCAGGAAGATGAGACTGTTTGAGGCCTTGCTAATGACTGAGGGCAATGGAATGGGGATAAGGATACTGAGGACACCCAAGGAAGGCTGTCCCGAGGATGACAGCGCTCACTGCCATCAGCTGGCCTGGGTGGGCCCAGGTAAGGTAAGGTAGGTGTGTCTCACCTTCTCGTGGATTTCCTGAGTGGACTGTGCATCGCAGAAGGCCACGGTAGCCAGGTCCTTCAGGATGGGCATCTCCACGGTGCAGTCTCTGCCATCCAGCAGTGCCACCAGGGGGCGGGGGTGCAGGGGGCCGTTCATGATCTGCGGGCGGATACCTGTGAGGAGGGAGGAGAGGCGCAGTGGGTGGGTGAACCAAGGACCAGGGCTCTGTCCAGCACGCGGCAGGGAGCGTTTGGAGGAACCCATAGATTAAGCAAAGGGCTCTGGGACAAGCTTGTCACCCTGAAAGCCCAGGAGGAATACCTGTGTGGCTCGACTGAACCGCTTTAGAAAGTATCTGCTGGGCCTATGGGGTGCGGGGTGAGAGGGGGACTTCATCTTGTTAAGTGACATTATATTTAGCTGATGACAAGCACTGTGATACTAACTCCACTGCCATTCAGAAGAGAAGGAAGGAGAGTCTCAGAACTGACACCTTGAAGAGGGACAGCACACAGCCAGATGCCACCTCTAGAGCAACCGTGGAGTTAGTTACCCAAGGTCACAGGGGCTTGTCCTGGATAAAGGACATGGGGACCTTTGCTATGTGCCTCCCTGACAGCACCACTAGCTGCTCCTCAAAATAAACCTGACGGCATAAAGCGAAGCAGGGAGAAACATGGAAGGTGCTGCACTCGAGGGACTCCCTTGTGGAACAGGCACGCCGGGGAGGCCAGCTGGTCATGTGCGCTAGGAGAGAGACAGTGTGTGAGGGCAAGGGGCCTGTGGAGTCCTGCAGAACAAACTTCTGAAAAGAACACAGACCTGGTCAGCTCCCAGAGCAGGCGGAGCTGTCCCAGCGGGTGGGGCAGGGATGGCCCTCGTGAGCTCGCCCTATGCCACTCAAATACAGATTCTCAATCTTCAGCAGGGAGGCGGTCCGGTACCTACCCTCTGCAGTGTACCACCCCCAATTCACGTCGCCCCAGGATGCCAGGATTCCTTCAGGATGCACACACCACTCCCCTTTCAAGGTCATTGCCGCAGGGGCTGCTAGACTTTGCAAGCCTCCTGACCCTCTGCCTTAGCCTGGAGTCATCCTACTCCAACCCTGGGCACACAAGAACCCCTCACATCAGGGGCATGGTGCCACCTGGATGCAAGGAGGGGCAATGTCCTCATCAAAGTGTTATGGACTGAAAACTGAAACAAGACAGTGTTCTGGAAGTTTCAAGCTTTCAGATGTCCACATAAACACCCACAGCAGCGCAAGGACAGTCCATTGTTGTCCCCTTCCTCCTGCAGTCTGCTTGTCCTCTCCTATAGAGGCCACGTGGGCCCGCAAGCTCTATCGAACAACCTCGGATCCTGTAAGGGAAAGTGTGATGTTTCTAGAACCATGTGGCCTTTGTGTGACCATAGACAATGGCACAGGCAGCCAAAAGCAGGAGCCCTCTGCCTAGGCACACTCACCTTCTTGGCTTCTACCTCCAAACAAAAACCACCCTACAGGGCTTCCCCTTGGTAGCACTGAGGCTCCTTCTGCAGCTAGCCACGCACTGCAATAGGAAGCTGAGAATGCAAATGCCCTTGCTGGGAGCTGTGTCCCCCTCCCCGTGGCACTGCACAGGGGCGCTGCTCCCGCGAGACAGCTGTAGAATCTGGGGACATTCATCTCTGAACACAGGAAAGAGACAAAGCTCTTTCCTGGCCTGAGAAGAACAGGCTGGAGCAGCTGGGAACTTGGCCTATCACTGGGTGGACCAGACCCAGTCGTCTTTCTATTCCAGAATGGGACTCAAAGGGAGCACTGGTCTGTCCAAGCCTATGAGTGGCAGCCAGAACCCTGATGTTGACACCGAAGGCATGTGTGTGCCTGGGTGGACCCAAAAGCCAGCATCATCCTACACTGTCACATGGCAGGACACAAAGGGTGGAGGGGCAGGGCAGAGGGAAGATCCCATGTCCTCACTGGTCCAGGACCCACACAGGTGGACGAGAAGCAGGGCAGTGAACCTTTGGCTTATAGTCCTGTTGACCTAACCAACAGGCTGGTTTCATGAGGAGGCCAGAAATGCTCCCTCCACCCTCAGTGCGCACAGGGGGAGGTTGGGGAGGACAGTGATAGAGAGTCCCTCAGAGGCTGAGGCTGGAGAGCCCCTCTACCCACAGACCACAGGCGGAGGGAAATGAGGGGTGGGACTTGCACATAGCTGTGCACCCTTTCAATTTATTCTCGAGATATGCTACAGAACTGCCACACTCTTTAACAGACAAGGAAACTGGGGCATAGACTCCTACCTAGGCTCCTTCCTGCTAAGAAAATAGTGAAATGGTCAAGACCTATAGGAAGAATGGATTTGAGGGATGGCAGCCCCAGACCATATAGGTGAGAAATTCCTTGCCTCCCAGGCTGTCTGCCCACAGGGCGGGGAACACCCTGCCTGACTTTCAGGGGGGATGGCAGGCTGATCCATCACACCGTACATGATTACAGTAAGAAGCTCATGTAGTTAAAAGAGTAACCAGCGCTGGTGACTCATGCCTGTAATCCTAGCTACTTGTGAGGCAGAGATCAGGAGGACTGTTGTTTGAAGTCAGCATGGGCAGATAGTTCCCAAGACCCTATCTTGAAAATACCCAATATAAAACAGGGCTGGTGGAGTGGCTCAAGTGGTAGAGCACCTGCCTAGTAAGTGTGAAGCCCTGAGTTCAAATCCCAGTTACACCTCCCTCAAAAACAACAACAACAAAAAAACCAGAGTAACCGCACAGGAGACCAATGCATCTAGAGATGTGGAGAGACCAAGAGCTACTTCACAAGATGCCCATCCAGAGCATCAGTGCACGGATCCGTTACCTGGGTAACAAACTCCAGGTTGCCTAGTGATCAGCAACCTCCCTGACTTTGGTCACCTTTATCTTTGGTGAAACTCACCCTTTCTCCTCTCCCTCGGCTGAGGTTGGTCTGAGACTCTCCGGCCACAGGATGAAGGCTCAGGCTCCAGTGGTAAAACCTTTATGGCACAGCAGGATACTAAGTAGACAGCAGGGTGGGTGGCAGTGGCAAGACTCCTGGGTATCCCAAATGAGGGACTTTAGGGTGTCTGGCTGAGGACCATGCTCTGAGGGTGACCCAGAAGACCCTCAGCATGGAGGGAGGGGAAAGCACAGTCCCAAAAGGAAACTGTCACCACACAGGAGAGAACCCAGAGTGAAACTCAGCCCCTCCCTCCACTACTGCCCCCCTCCCCCCAGTCTTGTGGGAGGCTGGAGGAGAGTCCTAGACAAGGTCATCAAACACATGGAGGGACAGAGCTATAAGCAGACCGCCCATCTTTCAATGCTTCTGACAAATCAAACAATTTTTAACATTTTAGGACAGAATGGACACATCATAGAATAAGGCACCTTTCCATTAAGGTGCACCATGACCATGAGGGACTCTGGGATATAGAACGTAATCTCAGCTTGGTCCTTGCCCTGGGGGCAGTGGTCCATTTCTTATACAGCTAGGGGAATTTAGAGGAAAAAAGCCCAAGGCTTAATGTTTAATGAGGACTCCCTACAAATTGGGTTTAGGGTAAAGATGTATGGCTCCCAATCGCCAGACACTGCTACAGGCTTTTCCATACGCACTGGAAGACTGTCACCACATTCCTACTCCAGGTAGGGTAACCACACTCAGTCTCCCAGTGTGGGGAAACACGTGTGTGACAAGGATCAGAGGGCCCAGTGCCCCTCTTTCTGCCCATCCTCTCGCCCTGTAAATTTCAGGACTATTCTGGATACAACCAGGCGCAGCCCGGAAATGAGGCTCAGCAGGCTCCCCTGGTATCAATTACTGACTGGTTCCAGGCTCGCCGCTACACACGCACCACACTCACCGCCTGGGATGGGCTGCGTCACGGCTCGAGGCCAGGCTGCTGTCAGTCCCCGGGCGCCCCTCCCCGTATTGCTTAGAGCTGAAGCTACTCATACATAATGTGCAATGAGAGAAAGCTAGTGAAGTTAGAGAAAGACAACACCAGCCTCACTTGCTGGGGTTTTGTTAACAGTGACCAGTCATCTGGGGAACACTAAGTCCTAAAGCCACCCAGATCTCAAGGTGGTTGGTCTCTAGGGAGGACCCTGGCAGCTTGGTGGCCACCCAACCTTGGTGCCACTGCAGCTGGGAGCTGCTGCCCTCAGTGGGCACAGGTTGGCAGGGCTGGAGTTGGCCACCTGGTATGGAACCCACGCAGGGCAAATGGGCCATGATCACTTGAGGAGAGTCACCAAGACAGAACTGTGTTGACCCTGAGATCCTGCCACAGGAAGCAGCCCTGCGGTTTTCTAGTTTTCCTGGACACTGTGTGAGGGACAGAAAAAAATAACCCTTGTTTAAAAAATGGTCTGAAACAGTTTCTGTTGCTTGCAGATTAAGAACCAAACTGCCCTGGGATATGACTTTGTTGTTTTTGTGATTTTAAGAATACCAAAGTTTACCCTGAAGTACCAAAGCTTTTGGCTTGAGTGTTACCCCCCTCCCACGCCGCCAAAGGGCTCATGCACTGGGAGATGTTCAGGTGTGCGTGTGGCAGGGGAGAGACCTGGGAGGTCCTCAGGTCTCTGGGAGTGAACTTCTGGAAGGGATTGAAGTAGTTCTTATGGGACCTCAACCAGTTAGTTCTGTCCGGGGGTTGCTATACAGAGGGTAAGCCTGGCCTTTCCCCTTCTCTGGCTTCTGGTTTTGTGTTGTTGTCATCAGCTCTTGCACTTGCTGTCACTCTGTAGTCAGGCCCTCACAAGGGGTGAGACCCATGGGGCTGCCCCCATTGTGAACTTTCAGTGTCCAGTACTGTGAGCTAAAGAAGCAATTTTTCTTTATAAAGTTAGGTTGCTTCAGGTATTTCATTATAGCATTGAAAAACGGAGACAGAGACGAGGGGCCTTGTAGGTGGCACCCAGCCTAGAGCTGAATGAAGTTACTGGAATTCGTGGAGTGTCTTCACCAGCTGTCCTGAATGTTGGCTCTGGATCCTCCTAGATGGATGTCTGTACCCTTGCAGCAGAGATCCTGAGACCAGACACATTGTCCGTGGAGCGCTGTGTGCCTAGTAAGAAGCCGGTGATTAAATGCATTACCTGCTCTGAGACCCAGGGGCCCGGGAGGTAGGAGAGGTAGCCTGTGTGG